TTTGGAAGTATTTCCTCCTCTTCCGATTTTCAAAAGTGTGAGAAGGATTGGTGTTAATTCTTTTTTTAGATGTTTGGTAGAATTCACCTGTTGAAGGCATCTGGTCCTGGACTTCTCTTTGCTGGGAGTAGTTGATTAATGATCTAGTGTCTTTCCTGTTTCAGTTTAGTGCCTTTTCATTGTGACTTGAAAAATTCTATTTAGCATTTCACTGGTAGATTGGATGTGGAGTAGAGGTAAAGAGAAAAGTCAGGGATGACTCCAAAGTTTTCAACCTGAGCACGTGGCAGGATGGAGTTGCTGCCATCTGAAAAGTGGAAGTCTAAAAAAGTGGAGCAAATTTTTAGTGAGTTCAACTGTGGATCTAAGTTCACGATGTTTGTTAAATATTCAAGTGGAGTTGGATTTCAGGGGAGAAGTCCAGGATAGAAATACAAAATTTGGAGATCATCAAGAAAGAGCATATATTTAGAAAAGAAGGACTGAACTCTGGAGAATTGTTAGAAATTATAAAAATAATAATAAACCAGCAAATAACACTGAGAATAAGAGAACAATAAGGTAGGAGGAAAACTAGAAGAGTATGGTGTTTTGGAAGCCTAATGAAGACAGTGTTTTGAGAAGAACGTGAGCAGCTGCATGGAATACTACTGATAGTTCAAATAAGATGGGGACTGAGAATTGACCATTGGATTTTGCAACGTTGAGGTCATTGGTGACCTTGACAAGAGCAATTTCAGTGGAGTGGTAGGTGTAAAAGCCTGGCTATAATGAGTTCTGTAAAGAATGGGATAAATGGAATTGGAAACTAGAAATCAAGAAAACTGCTTTGAGGAATCTTCTTCTAAAAGAGGCAGAGAAATTGGGCAATAGCTAGAGGGGACTACAGGGGACATCAATAGACATTTTTTTTTTAAATCTGAGAAATTATAGCACATTTCTATGCTGAATGGAACTGATCCAGTAGAGAAGGGGAAATTAATAAGGCAGGTAAGAAAAGAATTACTAGAATGGCATCTTTGAATAGGCAGAAGGTATGTGTTCTGGTGCACAAATGAAGGAGTCGACCTTACTTAGGAGTATGGATAATGACAAGAGCAGAGGCAGGATATGTGTGCATTCTTGCAGTTACGTCAGTTGGAAGTTATCTTCTGATGCTTGTAGAAAAATCTCTGCTGTAAGAAATTCATCATTATGGAAGTTCCAAAAATTTATGAAAGTAGAGAGAATAGATTAATGAACCCAATAGATTAATGAACCTCCATGCTGTCATCACCCAACTTTAACAACTATCTCTTCATGACCTGTATTGTCTTGTTCTATAGCCCCATCTACACTCTTTCCCTTCCCCAGATTATTTTGAAGTAAATCCCATGTATCATATTATTACAACTCTAAGTATTTTATTATATGCCTCTGAAAGATGGTGCTTTAAAAGCTATAACCACATCACCATACCTAAAATATTAACAATAATTCCTTAATATTATAATATATCCCATCCATGTTCCGAATTCCCCAGTTGTCTTTTTATAATGTTTGTTTGAATTGTGGTCCACATAAAGACCACGTATTGTGATTGACTGATGTGTCTCTTATGTCACTTTCAATTTATAGATGCTCTTTTCATATACATTACCCAGTTTATTTCTTGATAAAACTGAACTGTTTGTCCTGTAGAGTCTCCCACAGTCTGTATTTTGCTGATTGCATCCCCATGGTGACTTTTAACATGTTCTTCTGTTCTCTGTAATTTCTCATTCAGAGGCTTGATGAGATCTGGGTATAATGTTTGCAAGAATACTTTATAAATGGTGTTGTATACTTCTATCAAGAGACACATAATGTCCAGTTGTTTCCCTTGTTGGGATGTTAACAGCCTTTGATAATTTTTGTTCAGATCTATTAATTGATTGGGTGTTTCTGGAATTAGCAGGAATACTTGTAAAAAGAGAAGCATTTCCTCTTTTCTTTTAAGTTATACTTTTGTGCAGTTCAAAGTTTTGTTTGGATTGCTTTAATTTCCTCAGTGAAGTAGTAAGTAAGGGTATCAGATAGAATGAAGAGAGATAGGAAATATTAGAGATTTTAGGAAGAGAAGGTGTGAAATAGACATCTAAGTGAGAAACAGCATGACTAGACTACAGAGATTTAGTATGATTGCTAGGTAGCAATAAGAGCACAGATGAGGTTCGTGGTCAAGAATTTAACTAAGATCAATAAGTGTGGTTGTATGCTTTTTTAAAATCACCTTCACCTGTATGGAGGTAGATTAAAGTAGAGAAAGGATTGGCTTTAAGCAGGCTTCGGTTTTGGCCCCTGAACTCAAACAAGAAAAAGGCAAGAATATTAAGGACATATATACCAGGGAATGATTATGGAATTTGCATTAGGTAGAGGGGAAGGGGGACATGAAAATGATAAGGAACTGTAAAAAGCTGATAGGGTCCAAAGAATGCGTATCTTGTAAAGGTTGAAGAATTATAAAAGTCAGGGTGATAAAAGCAGTGTGATGGAGAGATGAAAGGTGCTGATTAGATAGTGGAATGCTTAAAATTGAGATTATAGACAGGGAATGAATTAAGAGTGGCTGAGGAAAAGTGGTAGATAGCTCCATGGAAGAGAGGAGATCAAGGAAATGAGAACCCAATAAATCTGAAAATTTATTAATATATATTGATCATCAAGTATTATGACAGTCACTAGGCCAGAATTTAAACTCCTCAAGTAATGAGTAGTATAACTTAATTATAAGGAATAGTAAAATATAAGCTCCATGTGGACAGGGAATTTTGTCCAGTTTTATCATTGTATCCCTAACCCTTAGAATAATAACTGGCATATAGTAGAGTGTTCAATACATGATTGCTTTATGAATGAACAACTGAATGACTGAATGACTTGAAATTCAAAGCTGGGGGACGTTTAAGGAAGACAGAAGGATGATGGCTTGAAAGTGGTAATGGGGTGCAAATAGGTTGTCTAACCCAACTTTAGGACCATTGATTTGAGGAGTATGGGAAAAAAAGCAGTTGCCATTTGGGCTTTAGGGGAAGCAGTGTCTTCATTGGAAAACTAGAGTTCTTAGAGCAAGTAGGTGAAAGGAATATTTAGAAAAGAGGTTGAGGATATAAATACTTTTTCTGGTGATGGACTTTACGTTCTAGTAGACACTGCAGGAGAGTTTCAGGAAATGGGGAAGGATGGGAAATAGGGTCAAAACATAATGTGCAGAGTTGCATGGGGAATAAAGTGTAGGAATTTGGGATTTCTCTTTAGTTGACTGAAGTAAACAGAGATAAAGGACATAATTATATAATTCTAATAATATCAAAGCAGGTAACGGTTGTGAGACTATGAGTGTGGGGGTTGGGGGAGAGAGAGATGAGAGTCCTGCAAGGAACACAGAAAGCTATGAGGCCAGTTCTTCATTCGTGTAATATAAAGATCAAGACAAGGGAACAGGGGATGGCTCCCTCCTAATTCCTGGAGCACAAGGGACTGTGGATTCCTTTTGATTCCTGTGTATCATAGGGTTGCATGTCAGAAATCTCTTTTGACTACTACTAAAGGAGAACATTGGAGAAAAAGAGATATTTCTTGCATATGAACTTTGTGCTTCAGCCATACTTGAATTACTTGCAGTTCCCTCAGTACACCATGTTCTCTTATATCTCTTTGCCTGCTGGTCCCCTCTTCCTGGTTTATCGCCCATCCATCTCCCATCTATCCAGAATGCTTCTACTCATTCTTCAAGACTTAGCTTAAGTATTTCTTCCATGCAGTCTTTCTGCCTTTGCATATTTAAGGAAAATTTAGGGACTTCCTCCTGTTGTATTCCTTAGTATTCCATAAATATATCATCATCTTGACATTTAATTTTTATTGAATTTTTACTGAGATAATGTGGATTCACATGCAGTTGTAAGACATAATACAGAAATATTCCATGTACCATTTGCCCAGTTTCCCCCAGTGGAACATCTTGTAGAACTTTAGTTCAGTATTACAATCAGATTGACATTGACACAATTCACCCATGTTATTCCAATTTCCCTAGTTTTATTTGTAGTTGTGTGTGTGTATTTGTTCTATAAAATGTTATATGTGTAAGTTCATGTATCCACTACCACAGTCAAGATACAGAACAATTTCATCACTACAAGGATCCGTTTTGTTGTCCTTTTGTAACCACACCTACTTTTCTCTCACCTCCCTAACTCAATCTCTGACAACCACTAATCTGTCCTCTTTGTCTAAAATTTAGTCATTTCAAAGTATTATAAATGGAGTTACAGTATGGAACCTTTGGGGATTGTCTTTTTTTCACTTAGCATAATCCTTGGGGATCCATTCAGGTTCTTGCATGTATTTATAGCTCATTCCTTTTATTGCTGAGCAGTGTTACATTGTATGGATGTATCATGGTTTGTTTATCCATTCACTAGTTGAAGGAAAAGTGGCTTCTTTCCAGTTTTTGGCTGTTACAAAGAAATCTTCTATTTATATACAGTGCAGGTTTTTGTGTGAATGTAAGTTTTCCTTTTTTTTTTTTTTTGATATATACTCAGGAGTGGAATTGCTGAATATAGTGGAAGGACCAGGGACTTAAAGGGTAAGTCCATCTCGTCTTATCAGGAAGGCAAAAACTTTCCTGAAATCCTCTCACTATCACACTTCCCCTTCAATCTCATTGACCAGAACTAGTGGCAATGGAGGCTGTAAAAAGGGAACACGCTTAGATATTTCAAACAAAATTTGGATTCTGTTAGCAAAGATTAAAGGGATATTTGTTATGAAATTAACAGTGTCTGCTAAAATGTCAATGTCTGAGAATGAAAGAAGCTGAATAGAAAAAAAAATCATCATAGGAATTATAGTAGGCTGAATGGTGGTTCTCAAAAAGATATGTCCATGCTCTCATTCCTGGGATCTGTGAACATTACTTGTGTGACAAAATATGTCATTAAGTTAAATAAAGATCTTGCTTATCTGTTAAGATACAGGCAGAAGAGGAGACATAGAGGAGAAGGTGACATGAAAAGGGAGGCAGAGATCACAGTGATGTGGCTATAAGCCAAGGAATACCAAAGCCATCAGAAGCTGGAAGAGGTAAGGAATGGATTTTCCCCTACAGCCTCTGGAGGGAGCGTGACCCTGCTGACACCTTGATTTAAAACTTCTGGCCTCCAGAACCATGAGAGAATAAGTAGCTGCTGTTTTGTGTAACCCAATTTGTGGTAATTTGTTATGGCAGCCTCAGGTAACTAATACAATAGTTAAGAGCACTGACATTAGAGTCAGATCTGAATTCAAGGTCTTCCTTTGCCACTTACCGGAACTAGGAGTGTTCCTTTTGATCTCCTCCTCAACTCCTGATAAAAATAATTGCTCTGATGGTCATTATCTAGAAGTACTTTTTCCCTGCTCCCCTAGTCCATTACTTCAAACAGTCACTCCTATTTTTGTCCCATAGATTCAAGCCTTGCACACATGTTGAAAACTATTGTGAGTTACTCTGGGCAGGAAACCTGTAGAAAGCTCCTGCATGTAAAGGAGTTTGGCACAGTACCAGCCTTCTCTCTTGCTGCTGATCCCTATGCGTATCACACAGATCCCATAATTACATAGCAACCTTTTGTGGCCTTGACTTTAGTCTAGGATTTTGTTCCCAGTCAGCAAGCCTCGGTTTCTGGTCTCTGCTAATTGTCCTCCTAGATCTGACCCACTTTCTGGACCTAGGCTTCTTATCTTGGCTCATCATCCAGGATTCGGATGATGCAATATCATTTCTGGAAGGGAACCGAGAGGTCATCTAATCTAACCCCTTCACTTTAGAGACAGAAACTGAAAACTTGAACTCATCTTTCTTCTTGGTCCTATCATATCTTCTGGCTTCTCTTGGCCTTAACATCTTTTTTGAGGTCATATGAGAAAAAAAATTCTGCTATACTCATATCCTTTTCCAGTTTAATGAAATTCCCAGCCAGGCACTTACCCAGTCCTACCAAGTCTCTAAATTACAAGTGTCAGTAGCAAAAACTTTGTGATCAAGGAAATGGGATAATTCCTAACAAAACATTCTTACTGTGACAGTATCCCAACCAGATGATATAAAAGCACAAACTTTGGACACCGATACTGGGCCAGTCATAACTAAATATACAGTATGCTGAAAACATCTATTAAACTAAAAGCTTAGCAGTAGAAGGAAGAGGGAAAATTCCTCTGAAACTGTTAAAAATCTCAGAAGGGATGGATGTTCCTTCAGAAAACAGCTTGAACAACTTTGTGTACAAGACTATAACATTGTAGCTATATCAAGGCCATTCTAAAAGAAAAGTTATTGTGTATAAACTTACGATCTTAGCTGCGAGTGACTTCTAGTTAGAAGAGTAAAGCCAAGTGGAATATTTCATTTTTAAGAGTTCAGTAAAAAGATTGTCTCCTGGTGGAGAAGAACCTATTTATGGGAGTACTTACCATCTTAGCATATTGTCATCTTTGCTACTACCTTTTGTCACTCTCCTCTACTTGTAAGAAGCAAAGGATATAAGGACTTATGATTGTTGCTTGGCAGTGTCAGAAAGGCAAACCAAACACATCTTTGAGCTTAGCAGGAAGCAATTAAAATCAAAATTACCATTGTCACTATGAGATAGATGTAGGAATCAACAAACAGACCTGATTGTAATTAGGTGGTTAGATCAGACAGTCCAGATGGCATACATCAGAGGAGTAGACAGGATTGGAAAGAATAAATTCTCTCTCTCTCTCTCTCTAAATATATATATTTCAAATATATATATATAGGGCAAAGTTTGGAAAAGTCAGGTAAGAAAGGTATATTCAAACATAGACTATAAGTTCAAACATGAGATTGTTCCTTGGAGTGCAGAGAGCACCTACAGAAGAAACCTTTGTCCACTTTAGCCTTATTCCTGTACTAGGCTATAACAGATAATAGTTATGATTTCTTGACTAATCACTATTTGCTGGGCACTGTTTCAAGTGCTTTACATGTCTAATTTAATCCTTATGACAGCCCTATGGAGTACATACTGTTATTCTCACTTTAGAGAAGATGAAACAGAGATAAAGGATAAGTCACTTGGCCAATGTCCCACAGCTAGGAAGTGTGGAATCTGGAATTTCAATGCAGCAGGCTCACTACAGAGTTATTTAAGTTGTTAACCACTGTGCTAGATTATCTCCTGTATATAACTACACCTTTGACCATCCTCGATCTTCTCCTACTCTGACTCTAGCACGTACAATAGCAGCCTCTGACAATTTATGAAGTTTTCAGTGCATACAAACAAAATCTCTAACCACCTAGATCCTGTTCTTAGGCCAGCCTCAGCATCAAGAGGCTAAAACTCTGAACACTCAATGTCTATTCCTGCTTAGACTGATAAGAGTCAGTTAGAGCCTGGTCTTGTGTTGTATTAAACACCTACAGAAGTCCTTCCACCCAGGGTCTGGCCCTACATGATTCTCAGTATGAGTAAAGGAATCTTTCAACAACTGGAAGCTTGTTTCTATTCTGGACTATGTGACATTCACAGAAAACTTTCAACCAACCAGGAACTCTTTCATGGTTAAAAATCTCTAAGCCTAACTTAGAGGTTTTTTTCTCTGAGATAGCCACATCTTCCATAGAAATGTCTGAATTCCAAGGACTTATTTCTGATCAGATTATCCAGGCAGAGAGAACGACATGTAGGAAGGTCCTAAAAGAGAAACCGGAAGTCAAGTATAACTAGAGCACATAACAAGATGGAGAGTGGTAAGTGAAGAAATTGGAAAAAATATACTGTTCCTAGTTACATAGTTTTGAATCAGGCTGATTGTGTTTGAATCCTGGGCTCTGACACTAATTATGTGGGTTTGCACAAGTTAATAAACTACTTACAGCCTCGATTTCCTCATTTGTACATGGGAAAAATAATAGTACCTACCTCATAGTGATGGGAGGATGGCATAAGGTTGCGTGTAAAGTATTTTGTACTTACATCATAGTAAGTATTCTTATAAATATTACACAGTAACACACAAACACATACATGATGTAGATGTAGATATAGATGTAAATCTAGATAGAAAGAGACAGAAAGACAGAGTGACAGAGACCTGATATCTTGGGGTCTTAGAGTGCCTTGTGATCCATGGTGAGAACTTGAAATTTTATTCTAAGGTAATTGGAAACTATTGAAGAGGTTTAAGGAGAAATATAACAAGACTAGGTGTGTATATTAAAATATTACCCTAGCTGTACTGTGGCAAAAGGATTGGACTGAGGCAATTGTAATATATGGGAGACCAATTGGGTGTCAGTTACAATTGTCCAGGGAAAAGATGGTGGTGTTTCAGACGATGATAGTGTCAGAATGAATAGAGATAATGGTAGGAAGAGGGACATATTTGAGATCTATTAGGAAGTAGAAGGGACAGTGACTGGTGAGCACTTAACAATTTCTTTTTCTCTTTTTTCTTTTCTTAATTTCCCCTTTTCCACCCCAGAGAATTAAGGAGAGATGGCTGAAGAACAGGACCAATAGTTGACAGATTAGTGTAGGACACTTTGTGATGCATCTTAGATCCAGGAGAGTTTTTTTTTTTAACACAGAAGGACAATATATTAATTTTGGTGAAGAAATGTGTTCAAATTTAGATATTGTAAAGAAGAACTATCTCCATTTCAGCCTAGACTAGAAGTCCTCTATATTTTCTACACCACTTCTCCATCCATAGACTCTAAGCAAATGCTACATTCAACACTCCAGGCCTAGGAAATTTGCAAAACCCCAAAAGAGTCTTAAGACTTGATCATTACTGTAGGGCTCTTCATAAGAAAGACTGTACTCAGAAAGTTTGCCAGGAAGGGAAGGGATAAAAAAGAAAAGAGGTACTGGAAGACTAGATACAGTGAAAAAGTGTGGAAATTAAGAGACAGGGAGAAATAGAGAGAATGAGTGATTCAGGAATGAGAGTGGTCCATTTGGTCCATTTGGTTCATTCTCCAAAAGTTTAGTGAGTAAATACATGCTCCCACCTTTTCCACAAAGGACTTGGGTGTTGTGAACTAAGCTGTATCTGCTTCACCCCAACCAAGCTCAGTGGTTCTTGCACACTCCTAGATACTGCCTTATTAGTCTTGGAGAAGATCTAGGAGAATTTTCTGGATTACCAGGCAGAGAATCTTGTACGTTTTTCTTACTTTCTCCCAAACGTACAGAGTGTCTCCCTCTCTGTGTTCTGAGCCACCCAAAGGTGGGAGTGGAGTGATGCAAGCACCCCAGAGTGGCCACCACCACTCTGACTGCTCTGGGTTCAGACCTGAAGCCAGTACAGCACTGCGTCTCCCCCAAGGCCTGCTATCATTACTCCCTGGCTACTGCCTATGTTTTTTCAAGGGGCTCTGCAATCAGCAGGTGGCAAAGCCACCCAGTCCTGTCTCCTTCCGTTCAGGGCAGCAAGAACTGCCAGTCTCCAGGTGGATCCAAAAGTACCATCAGGAGTCAGGTCCTAGGGTCAAAAACTTAGAAGTCTGCTTTGTGTTCTGTTGTACTACAACTGAACTGGCAATCATACCACAAGATGCAATCCCTCTAACTCTTCCATTCCCTTTCCAAAGGCAGAGGGGCCTCACTCTATAGCCACCACCACCACAGACTGTAGGGAGTACTGCCAGACTACTGCAAGTGAGACCCTGGGTCCTAAGGTCCCAGGGCTCTTTAGTGAGCATATGATGAATGCCGCCTGGTCTTGGACTCACCCTTCAGGATAGTAGTTTCCTTTCTGGCCCAGGGCAGGTACAGAGATGATATCTAAGAGTCAGTTCTAGAATCAGAGACCCACTTGATGCCCTACCCCACTGTGGCCATGTTGATACCCAAGGTGCAAGATGAAGTTTCCTCAACATTCCCTCTGTTTTTCTTAAGCAGAAAGAGTTTCACCCTGTATCCACCACAGCTGGCAGTATGGTAGTCTTACCTGAAGCCAGCAAGTCTTAGCATCTCACTCAAGGCCCTTGATGTAGTACCTGGGTATTGCTACTGGTTATTCAGGGCCAAAGGGCTCTTCAGCTAGTAGGTGATGAATGCTGTCAGGACTGTGTTCTTTCCTTCAAGGCAGCAGGTTCCCTTCTGGCCCAGGGTATGTCTAGAAGTGCTGCCTGGAAACTAAGGGCTGGAACAGGGTCCTCATGACTCTGACCGGTGCCCTATCCTGCTGTGGCTGAGCTGGTATCCAAAATGCAAGACAAAGTCCTCCACTTCTTCCCTCTCTTCACCTCAAGAGGAAGAAAGGGGTCTCTTTTTGAGCCAAAAGCTGTACAGCCGAGAGTTTAGGGGAGGGGTGATGCCAGCACTCCCTTAGCTGCTCCCACTGATGTCTCAGTGGGTCACATGCACCCTCAGACCACTGTTTCTGGGCCCAGTTCAGCACTAGGACTTAAGAGTTGTAGTCCCTGTGGCCTAGACTGCCTATCAAGTTTGCTTAGAAATCCAGAGCACTTTGGCCCTGGGTGGCAAGGTCTGCACGAACTCAAGTTCCACCCATTGGAATCCAAGATTCCCCTCTGCCTAGGACTGGTTTAAATGCTCCCTCTGTGGGTGGATGTCAGCTGAGTTTTATTCTGTTTTCCTTTCTGCTGTAACAGGACAGCACTGAATTTGATGCCTCACAATTGTTGTGCTGTCCCTTCCCCAATGCCCAGAGATGCTCCACTCCACACTGCTGCTGGGGAGTTGGGGAGAGGTAGTGTCAGTGATTCAAGGTGAGGTTTTTTTTTTTCTATCTCTTCAGTATTTCTTTCAGTAATGTGGAGTTAAAACCAGGTACTATGAGGGCTCACCTAAATTTTAGTTCTTATATGGTTGTTTTTTTCTGTGTAGATAGTTGTTAAATTGGTGTCCTTGCTGGGGGTGATGTGCAGTGATTGGTAGAGGCTTCTATTCCACCATCTTGCTCCTCTCTGGATACCCTTTAAATAAAGGAGGGATAAAGGAAGAGAAGAAGGAATGAAGGAAGAAAGGAAAGAAGGAATCAGGGGCCCAGGTCATGGGATCATTCTACAGCTCCAGTCAGTTTACAGAAATCATTTAGCAATTCTTAGTTTATTTTATGGAATTTATTCATAATGAAATTACATATTTCAAACAAAATTCCTTATTTAGAGATGATGCTTTTGTGTAACTCCTTAGCTTTAGCCAGTAACTAATAAAGTACTCAGTATTCTCTTTGACCAATTTGCAATCAATTGTTTATGCATTTCACTGAGCACTTTATAAAGATGCATGTCATAAACCAGTATGCAAGTATTATGCTGCATTTTGGTGATAATAAACATTTGCCATCCCTTCTTAGTTAATGAAGTTGGATATTGGAAATGAAAATTTTGTTCAGGAGTCATAGAGTGAGAGAGGGGTAAAGAAAAAGTTCAAGGTATAAAGAGATAAGAAGTGATGGCATAAACGCAGAAAGAGAAGTAAAGTGTTTAGAGCATAGATAATTCATACTCATAGTGTTTTCTTAAAGTATTCTGAGTATGCTTTTAAAATGATCAGATGGCCATATAGTACACATATATGTTTTTTTTTCCACAGAAAACTTAATAGTTAGATTTCAATTGCACATGTTCTATCCTATAAGGAATGTCTGACTCTTCATAACGTGAGTATCCAGTGTGTTGTTTCTCTCTTTGAATGTAGCTTGACTTTGGAACTCCTGGTGTAGAAAAACTCTGCAAATAAGTGAAAAATATCAAATGTAATTAAATGACATTTAATAAAATTTTTATTCTCATTCAGATATGCTTATATTTAGTTATTTTAGAAATCTATTTAATCACTCTCAGAAATCTGTAGTGATTTAAAACAACACATTAAAATATCTTATTTTAGTAAAATAATTTCTGGCTGATTTTAAATAACCATTAAATACTTGTAAAATAGTTCCTTCATACTGGTTTACATATTGGGCAATCCAGTTTCCATACTAAAGTAAAAAGCAAATGTTACAGGAGAAAATTTACATAAGAAAAGCAAATATTTATTTTTTATCATACTATAGTACCAAGTTCCACACTCTAGTATTACACAATTATGAATGTTAGTACTGTATTAACACAAAATTAAATTTGTTGCATTTATGAAATATTCCATTTGTCTTTTTTGTATGATCATATACACACATTTTAAAATACATGACTAATTGTTTTCACAACATATGTTATCATAACATTATTTGTGTCACATAACCAGAGTTTTGTCTCGGCACAGAATTGTTTTATGATAGAGGTTCATGCTAAAACTTAATTTCCCCAGCATAACATGGTACTTTTTGACAATTAAAAATCTCCATTCATAAATTTACTTTTCCAAGGACCATAAGGAAACATGTCCATGAACATTTAAAAATGTCATTTTAAAACAGATCTGAGAAAATATGAATACTGTAGGCCTTTATTTTAAGAATTTTTTTTTTTTTTTTTTTTTACCGAATGGAAGATTTTATTTTTTTAAGTTTAATTTTAAGTTCAGGGTTATATGTGAAGGTTTGTTATATAGGTAAACTGTGTGTTACAGCGGTTTGGTTGTACAGATTATTTTGTCACCCAGGTAATAAGCATAGTACTCAATTGGTGGGGGGTTTGTATCTTCTCTCTCCTCCTACTCTCCACTCTAAAGTGATCCCCAATGTCTGTTGTTCTCCTCCTTGTGTCCATGTGTTCTCATTGTTTACCTCTCACTTAAGTGAGAACATGTGGTATTTGTTTTTATATTCCTGCATTAGTGTGCTTAGGATAATGGTGAGAATTTTTTATGTTTACTGAAAAACATTATACTGGCTGTCTTCTCCATTCATACAAGAATGGTTCAAAAATTTAAAATATATATATTTGTTGTCCACCACTTTGTGGCAGGCACTGCCTCTGATTAGAGATTAGAAGGTGTTTCAGAAGGAGTTTAGGGAATTATAGTCAGAGAGATAGGCAGACCACTAGGAGAGTATTACCCTGGAAGTGTTCAGGAAACATTAAGTATTAAATGTCTATAGAGATCAGATAAGGTGAAGTCTTAAAATAGGGTTTTGGATTTGATATCTAACATATTACTGGGACACTCAGTGAGAGCAACTTTAACAATGTGCTTTAACAGAATGCTGAGCTTGGTTACCATGTATCCTTGAAATAAAAGTACAGTGAGAGCTTTCTTCGGGAAAAGTTTAATTTCTTAGCAGAGACAGATAAACCTTTTCCACGCCTTTTCCTAAGGAACTTTAGGCATGCTCTTTCTTGTCTTGGGCACTATCTTTCCCTTACCAATATCCATGTCACTTCAACTTTTTGTCTTATTTTGCCTCTTCCACCTCCAATCCTGCCCCTACTTCTTGGAAATTACTAGCACCTATTTGTCTTATTTTGCCTCTTACTTACTACCACTTATTTGTCTTATTTTGCCTCTTCCACCTCCAATCCTGCCCATACTTCTTGGAAATTACTACCACTACTTTTTGACTGACTTTTTGACTGCTCTGACCCACTTCTCTTTTGAGTCTCTTATCCACCTCTTGCACCATTATTGCTTTTCTTTTGGTGGCTATAATTAAGGGTAATACTGATACACACACTGCACCACAGGTGATTGCATCACCCTTGTCATTCTCTCTCACTACCCTCTGAGCTTTTATTTTGTAGTACTTACCACAATTTTTAATTATATACATATTGACCTGTTTAATGTATGTTTCCCTCCACTGTAATATAGTTCCATAGGTCAAGACAATAACGTTTTTCATCATTGTTTAAATACCACAGGTCTTGGCACATACTAGGCACCAGTAGGTTTAACCAATTGGTTGAATGAATGAAAAGGTTACATTCCTCAATTAGTTTCATTCAGTTTTAAAAGATTATCTGTCCCAGGCTTTCTATAACCTTTAAGGTCACCATTTTTTCCCTGTTCACCTTGTCTTCCAGGAAAAAAGCTGAGCTATTCAATTTTAGTCCTCTTTAAAGGGTAAATTGTTGATTATGTGGACACACATTGAATGATACCTTCAATGAGGTACATTGATTGCAGAAACCCCTTCTCTGGAGCATAGGAAGAACCTGTGACTTGCTTCTGGCCAATATGGAGAAAATGATAGGGAATATCAATACAATAGTTACTCTCTTGAATACATTGCTATTTAGGACTCCATCCTAGCAGAATGGAGCTAGCCATTCTTCTGCTGGCCTTGAAGAGATAAACTGCAATGTTGTGAGAGGGTCTATCAGAGGGCCATGTGGCAACCGCAAGTGGCCTATAGGAACTGACAGTGGCCTTTAGATGACAGCTAGCAAGGAAAGGGGTAGGAAAGAGAATGAAGTTCTATAGTTGCAAGGAAGTGGATTCTCCCAACAAATGCATGAGCTTGGGAGAGGACCCAAACTCCAGATGACAATGCAGTCTGCCTGACACCTTAATCACAGCATTGAAAGACCCTGAGTGGAGGACCCAGATAAGCCATACTCAGATTCCTGACTCATGGTGCTATAGTTTCGATAACTGACCCCTCCAAATCTCATGTTGAGATTTGATTCCCAGTGTGGGAGGTGAGGCCTAGTGGGAAGTGTTTGGGTCATGGGGGCAGATTCCTCATGAATGATTTGGTGCCATTCTCTCAGTAGTGAGTTCTCAGTCCATTAATTCCCATGACCACTGGCTGTTAAAAAGAGCCTGTCACCTCCCTGCTGTTGCTTCCTTTCTCACCATGTGATTTATGTACATGCCAGCATCCCTTCATTTTCTGCCATTAGTGGAAACAGATTGAGGCTTTCACCAGACTCCCCGTCATCTAGCCTGCAGAATCATGAGCCAAATAAACCTCTTTTCTTAATATTACCTAGCTTTAGGTATTCCTTTATAGCAAAACAAAAACAGACCAAGACAGAAAGTTGGTACCAGGGGTGGGGCATTGCTATAAAGATACCTGAAAATGTGAAAGCAGCTTGGGAACTGACTAATGGGCAGAAGTTAGAAAAGTTTGGAGCACTCAGAAGAAGACTGTGAGATAGGTGAAAGTTTGGAACTTCCTAAAGATTGGTTGTGGTTGTGAGCAAAATGCTGATAGAAATATAGACAGTAAAGGCCTTGGCCGGGCGCGGTGGCTCAAGCCTGTAATCCCAGCACTTTGGGAGGCCGAGACGGGCGGATCACGAGGTCAGGAGATCGAGACCATCCTGGCTGACATGGTGAAACCCCGTCTCTACTTTAAAAATACAAAAAACTAGCCGGGCGAGGTGGCGGGCGCCTGTAGTCCCAGCTACTTGGGAGGCTGAGGCAGGAGAATGGCGTGAACCCGGGAGGCGGAGCTTGCAGTGAGCTGAGATCCGGCCACTGCACTCCAGCCCGGGCGACAGAGCGAGACTCCGTCTCAAAAAAAAAAAAAAAAAAAAGACAGTAAAGGCCATGCTGATGAGGTCTCAAATGGAAATGAGCAACTTAATGGTAACTGGAGAAAGGTCAGTGTGACACTGTAGCAAAGAACTTTGCTGCATTGTGTCCATGCCCTAGGGCTTTGTGGAAGGCTGAACTTAAGAGTGATGACCTAGGGTATCTGGTGAAAGAAATTTCTAAGCAGCAAGGCATTCAAGAATGGCATGACTACTTTTAACAACTTACAATATTATCTGGGAGTAAAGGGATGACCTAAAGTTAAAATTTATGATTAGAAAGGAAACAGAGTGTAAAAATCTAGAAAATTTGCTGCCTGGCCATGTGATAGAGAAGAAAAGAGTGTTTTCAGGAGAGGAATCCAAGGATGTTGTGGAACTACATTCTCTCTCAGTGCCATTCTCTCTTATTTAATTCTCTTAATGATTTTACATGTCCCATGAAAGTTCTTTTTTTTAGTTCTGTTTTTCATCACTTGTCCTCATAGATGATATATGTTTCCTAATATATGCTAAGTACATTAGAAAAACCTGTTTTTATTCAATCACACAGCTGACATTTTGTCTTACTGCATAATCAAAATCCTTAAAACTACTAATCTGTGTTTCCTTAATTTATCACTGTGAGGTCACTCATTAATTCATAGTGTGTTTTTTGGGGGGAATGTTATTTTGCTATGTGGTCAACCAAAGATATCCCTCTCTCAAAAGAACCACAACTTATTATGTTAACAAATACCAGTTACCCATTTTTGGTGAACTAGCTCCAATTTTCTATAATTCATTGCACTTATCAAGAAAATTCATAAAGATAACTTTCTGCTGATCATCTGTTTCACTGTTTTCTGATTGTTTTTAAACACTTCTACAAGGAAATACTTTGCATTCTATGTTATTTGTTAACATGTCTTATAGCTAGTGATCAGTAATTAGCTAGTGTTCAACATTAGCTTGAGCAATGTACTATTTAATGTATTTTTTAAGTGGACTAAAACACAAAATAGCAGTTGCATTGCTAAATTATGGTAATTTAATGACTTCAAAAACATTAAGACCTGTCTCATCTCTGGGTTAACCAATCTAATGGCATTTAATCAGTTTTCATTTGATCTGAAATCTCCTTCTAAAGATTCAAATTTAAATATAGATTATGCATACTTATATATAAGTATGTTAATACATATTAAATATTATATGTACTATACATTTGGTTCATATTTCCTAATCCCATTTTACAAAATAAAATAGTAGTGACAGTGAGTCATATAAACTAAATTTCTTGAACATTTGTCTTGAAGTTTGTCTAATTCTACCTGACATAATTTGTCTAATTCTATCATACCATTTTGCTATAGTGAGATCTTAGTATTTATTATATTACCTTTACTTGAATTATTACGTTGATAACCATATATAGAGATTGAGATGCATAATACATACAAAGAGTGGCTTCATTTGCGTGGTTGATAAATGCTTATTCCCTTAATTTGCTTAGGTTTTTTGTTCCTTGAGAGCCACATCAGTTATAAGATGGATAGATGTAAAGACTGTCCTCTTTGGACTCATGAATCATAAGGCTATTTTAAATGAAAAAAAATAAAATAAATATTATAGGACTCTTTAAAAAGTCAATCATAAACTGTTACGTGTTATGATGAAATCGAATGTTATGACTATAATCTGTGGAAAGCGAATAAACGAAGTCTTTCAGAAGTTATGTTAGATTGACATAGCAGACATAAAATAATGGCATTCTCATAAAACTGAAAGAATGAAACAATTCTCCTTTTATTCTGTTTCTCACTCAAACTAGGGTTCTTGTTAGGGAATATTTTCTGTGGTTCTTTCTTGGAATGTCTGAGAAATTACTATGGTACTTAAATAAATGAAGTACAATTTTTTAAATCTTACAGATTAATTGTAGTACTGACATTTTTTCTTAGGAAATGTGTAAAAGAGCAATCTTCTGCTCTAATATAAATACAATTATGTAGATATTCACAGTTAGAAACATTGTTATCTCTATGTTCCGTTCCCTGAAACCCTACCTTCTACCAAAAGATAAATACATAAAACTATCTACTAAAATTATTCCCAAATAAGATTCTGCTTTCTCTCTTTTTAGTATTTACATGCTTTAACATCCCTTTTAAGATAACTTACTTGTAATTTATTCCAGAGAACCGAGGTAGTGGAGATACAGTTCTTCTGGGAAGGACCCTCTGAAGGGATGAGTTCCAGAGATTCTGCACATTGATTTTTTGAGGGAAGAGAAGAAATAGCCATGATTTTAGGGAAATTTGAAATATAATATATAATAGCTCACATTAATTCTACATTCTAATATTTAAATATCAAGATAGTTCCAGGACTAATCTTTGGAAATGACAAATAAACAAAGGTAATTGCTACAGGGAAAATGTTTATATATTATATTTACTGTATAGCAAGTCTCTTTCTATTTCTATCTTTCTGTCTATTGTTTGTCTATCTATCTATCTATCTATCTATCTATCTATCTATCTATCTATCTATCATCTTCATCGCCATCATCATTTATCTATATAGGGATATCAAATGGCCCACTGAAGAGTAAGTGCAAATTGAAGATACATTTCAGCCACCACTCTAAGCAGTAAGTGACCTTTCCATCCAAAAGGGTTAAATTTAAATCCCCCTTCCCATTGTCATAGTTTGAAAAACACATATCTCCAGAGGAAACACAGAAGACAAAAATAACTCAGGCAGCAAATACTTAGGTTGAATACAGAGACCTGCAATGTCAAACAGCCACAACATATTCTAAAGGGTTTTGGAGGGAAGCTAATCCATAGAAATCAACTGATAAAGACTTGGTACTTAAAGACTATACTCTGAGTAAGTACATAAGTAAAGACCAAATTGCAGGAATATGGGCATTGAAGCAAGAATTTGGCTTTAAAACAGACATGAGGCATATAATATTGTATCAAAACAAGATCTACACAGAACCTATTCTTGTAGCCACACCAGTTAAGAGTATGTACCTATACAATATGTATTGTATGTATGTCTATGCATATACATATTATGACATGATCATTTTGATTGAGTGATTTTGAAATCAAATGTATTTTTGCTAGCCACTTTGATAGTTATTTTTACATGAGGAAGTTTGATGCAGTCTATAAAATAATTCATTGCCCTTTGTTTTAAAAAGATTAAATAGTTTGTGAAATATATACCATGAACTACTCCTAAGTTTCATCTAATGCCCACAACCACCTTTGAGGGGTAGAGATTCTTAGATTGGTAATAATATCGAGGGTAAGATAGAGGTTAAGTATCATATGAAAAGACAAACTGATAGAAACAGGAAAAAAAAGACAGACCCAGTATTCGTCCTCTGTTGTTTAGATACTCTTTTTTGATCTTTCATCTCTCCTTCTCTGCCTCTTTTCTGCAATCTTCTTTATAATAAGACAGAAAACCACGATAAAACAAAGAAAGAAAACCATGATTTTTGAACTGTGAGTTCAACGAAGATTGGCAAGAAAGCTTCACTTGTGCCTATGGCCAGTCCCTCTGACCTTTGCTTAGTGCTGTCATAGTGGGCAGAATCAAGGGTTCCAGACCATTCCATGTTCTTAAAGGGGCCACCTTTCCTTCCAGGGTGGACTTAATTTCATTGGTCTAGGCTTCTTTCTCTTATCAGGCAAGAAAGAGTAGTATATCTGATGGGATGAAAAGAGGCCTATATAAAATTTGGATTTGGGGGCCCTAAACACAGATTCTTTAACTTTGGCAGTGTGGATGTGTTAGGGAGGATTCCTTTGGAAGCAGTAAGGGTCTCTGGATGTAGAGGGATGCCTGTGTGCCTCTTTTTTTTTTTTTTTTTTTTTTTTACCAGTTTGGACCAAATTTAAACTTATTAATTCAAACCCAGTCCTCGATCCACCTAGGCAGATACGGAAAATTGTTTGAAGCAAAACTTAAAGAGTAGAAAATTGTAAAGTAGATAGCAGGGCCAAAGAGTAACAGCAATGATGAGATTATTTTTGAGATCAGGTCTCAGAAATAGTGGTGGTAGTAGTGGCTGTAAGAGTGTGGCACTCCACTAATATGTGCACATGAGGGTTCAGAAAAAAACAGCAGCTGGTTAGTGAAGGCAGGTTTCTCTGAAAGTAGTGACCATATCAAACTCTGGAAGTAGGGTGACATATAATTTCTTGTCCAAACCAGAACACTTATGAGAGTGGCAGTGACAGCTGTTAAGGTTTACTTTAAAATAACAGGCAGAAGTGTGTAGAGGGAAATTTATAGCACTAAATGCCCTCAAGAGAAAGCAGGAAAGATCTAAAATCGACACCCTAACATCACAATTAAAAGAACTAGAGAAGCAAGAGCAAACACATTCAACAGCTAGCAGAAGGCAAGAAATAACTAAAATCAGTGCAGAACTGAAAGAGATAGAGACACAAAAAAAACCTTCAAAAAATCAATGAATCTAGAAGCTGGTTTTTTGAAAAGATCGACAAAATTTATAGACCACTAGCAAGACTAATAAAGAACAAAACAGAGAAGAATCAAATAGACATAATAAAAAATGATAAAGAGGATATCATCACCGATCCCACAGAAATATAAACTACCATCAGAGAATACTATAAACACCTCTACACAAATAAACTAGAAAATCTAGAAGAAATGGATAAATTCCTGGACACAGACACCCTCCCAAAACTAAACCAGGAAGAAGTTGAATGTCTGAATAGACCAATAACAGACTCTGAAATTGTGGCAATAATTAATAGCCTACCAACCAAAAAAAGTCCAGGACCAGATCCAGATGGATTCACAGCCGAATTCTACCAGAGGTACAAAGAAGAGCTGGTAACATTCCTTCTGAAATTATTCCAGTCAATAGAAAAAGAGGGAATCCTCCCTAACTCATTTTATGAGGCCAGCATCATCCTGATACCAAAGCCTGGCAGAGACACAATAAAAACAGAGAATTTTAGACCAATATCCCTGATGAACATCGATGTGAAATCCTCAATAAAATACTGGCAAACCGAATCCAGCAGCACATCAAAAAGCTTATCCACCATGATCAAGTCAGCTTCATCCCTGGGATGCAAGGCTGGTTCAACATATGCAAATCAGTAAATGAAATCCATCACATAAACAGAACCAACGATAAAAACCACATGATTTATCTCAATAGATAAAGAAAAGGCCTTTGAAGAAATTCAGCAGCCCTTCATGCTAAAAACTCTCAGTAAACTAGTTACTGATGGGATGTATCTCAAAATAATAAGAGGCATTTATGATAAACCCACAGCCAATATCATACTGAATGGGCAAAAACTGGAAGCATTCCCTTTGCAAACCGGCACAAGACAGGGATGCCCTCTCTCACCACTCCTATTCAACATAGTGTTGGAAGTTCTGGCCAGGGCAATGATCCATTTTGTCAATTCTAGCGCCGGCTCTGGCTGTTTAGCTCATGACGCTCCCTGTCCATGCCTATGTCCTGAATGGCTATTGCCACAGGTCTTCCTCTACACGGGTTTTTTACGGTTTTAGGAGTCTCCACGTTTAAGTTAATCCATCTGCATTAATCTTTTCGTAATAGATTACCGAGGAACAGGGCTCCAGTTTCGCTTTCCCACATCTGGTTCGCCAGTTTTCCCACGTACATTTATCTAACAAACAGGAATCTTCCTCCCATTATCTTGTTTTGTCAGGTTTGTCAAAAGATCAGATGGTTGCCGCATCATGTGGTGTTATTTCTGAGGTCCTGTTCTGTTCCATCTCGTCATATCTATATTTTGGGTACAGTACCCCACGTTGTCTCCTTGGTTACTCGGCCTTGTTATCCATAGTGAACAGGTACGCGTGAATGCCTCCACGGTTTGTTCTTTGGCCTTTACGACCTGATCCCTTGGCGCAATCGGGGGGGCTCTTTTCTTTGTTCCATACTGAACTTTAAAAGTCAACCTTTATCCCATTCCTATGAATAAAGTCATTGGTAGCATTAATGGGGATAGGCAATCTGAATCTATACATTACCTCCGGGCAAGTATGGGCCATTTTCAACGATAACTTGATTCCTTGCTATCCCATGGAGCATCGGAATATTCTTCCATTTGTGTTGTGTCCTTCCTTTTATTTTCTCGTTGAGCACGGTTTGTAAGTCTCCTTGAAGAGGTCCTTCACATCCCTTGTAAGTTTGGATTTCTAGGTATTTTATTCTCTTTGTAGCAATTGTGAATGGAAGTTCACTCATGATTTGGCTGTTGTCTGTCTGTTCTTGGTGTATAGGAATGCTTGTGATTTTGGCACATTTATTTTGTATCCTGAGACTTCGCTGAAGTTGCTGGCTATCAGCTTAAGGAGATTTTGGGCTAGAGATGATGGCGGTTTTCTAAATATACAATCATGCCATCCTGCAAAAGGGACAATTTGACTTCCTCATTTCCTAATTGAGATAGCTGTTCTTTCTTTCTCGTTGCCTGA